CGGAACGCCGACGCATCGCCAACTTTCCCCGTCCACAGCAGGGCTGGGGAGGTCTCCGGTCGAGAGACCCTGGGGTGGAGGTTGATCTGGTGCGCAGCGTACCTGACCGCTAAACGGCCACAGAAAATGGGGAGCAGCCGCATGCATCATGGACGTACGAGCGACGTCCATGACCATGCCAATGCGGCGCTCAGCAATCCCATTCTGCTGTGGTGAGTCCGGAAGCGTGAAGGTCTGACGGATGCCTCGCGCACGACAGTAGGCACTCAGGAGGCCAGAGGAGAACTCTCCGCCTCTGTCCGAGTGCAGACGCAAAACAGTGAAGTCAGAGCCAAAGCTCCTCCGAAGCTGGAGACGAGCTGCGCGGATCCAGTCGATCAACACCTCAGTGACCTCACCCTTGCTGCGCAAGGGGAAGACTGTGGTGTAACGCGAGTAGTCGTCAACCACCAGCAGGAAGTAGCGTTCCTGACCCTGTCCACGGACGCGGGCTGGGCCCCACACGTCCATGTGAAGCGTCTGCAACGGGGCCTCTGTCGGAGGAAACTGGGAGGAGTGAGGGGCAGCACGCTGGCGCCCCTCGACACAGGGGACACAGGTAGGGCCAGGGCCCGGAGGAAGGGGAGGGAGGCACCGGGGAAGACCAGACACAAGGACTCGCGAGGCCATGCCTCTGAGCCGAAGCAGAGAGGGGTGGCCAAGGCGGTGGTGCCAGAGGAGGGTCTGGTGAGACAGACGACGACACGAGCAGGGGGCAGACTCAGGACCAGACCTGGACGCTGCAGCAAACACCTGACCAGACGAAGGGACCCTACCAGACGTAGCACCTGGAGGAGAAGCAGTGGTCAGTGTGTACAGGCTCGACCCTGGCCGACGTGTAAACGTAGCCAGGTGGCGACCTGTATCCGCCTCCGTGCAGTGGGTCACCCGCTGACGAGCAGGGGTGAACTGGTGGACACCCGCATCCTGGAGGTCAGCACCACTCACCAAGTTCGTCGAGAACGAGGGGAGGTAGAGACCAGTCAGGGTGCCAGAGGGGGCCGCCGGACACGGGAGGACAGTGGAGAAGCGAGACAGGACAGGCCCCCCAGAGGGGTCAGCCAGGGACACCGCAACCGGCCGACTCAGCGGCGTGAGAGTGGTGCGGTCCCTAAAGAAGGAGCGAGACGCTCCAGAGTCAAGGGTGAAGGTGTGAGAGGCCGAAGCCGACACAGTACCTGAGAGGGCAGACTCACCAGCACCTGAGAGCACAGACGCACTGGCACCTAGAGCAGCAGCCCCACTAGTACCTGACGCGGCAGTACCAATGCCCGGGTCGGGCGGGAAACATCGGTAACAGTCATCCTCATCACTACCAGTCACAGCATACATAGCAGAGAGAATAGCATCAAAATCAAGATCATAATTAGCTACACCAGCCCTAGACAGCTCTCCCCAGCGGGGGATCTCAGCGGCCTCCGGAAACTGCTGACGCCAGGCGTCGGTCAGGCGGCCAAAGCAGCGGCGGGCTGTGTGGGCGCCTCCACACCTCTCCCCTGCACGGTCACCGGTGCGAAGAACGTAGGGGCAGGGACCAAGCGCACCACCACGCTGACGCTGCAAGTACCACTCACGGAGCTGCTGAGGGGCGGGGACGGTGCGAGAGCGCTGCTGCTCCTGTGGCTGCTGCTGCGGCTGCTGCTGCTGCTGCTGCTGGCGCTGACCACCCCCGGAGCTGCTCCGCTGGGACGAGCCACTCCGACCCCCGCCTCCACCGCCACCCCCGCCTCCACCGCCACCCCCGTCTCCACCGCCACCTCCCCCACCAGGACCGTCGCTCCCACCGCTCCCACCGCCTCCTCCGCTACCACCTCCGCCGCCACCTCCGCCTCCACCGCCGCCACCAGTACCTCCACTCCCTCCACCACCCCCACCGCCACCCCCACTCCCCCCGCCACCCCCACCGCCTCCTCCACCGCCCCCTCTAGCTCCACCCGCTCCCTTGCCCCCCTTGCCCTTGCCAGAGCGGCGTCTGCCGCTGGGGGCAGACGCCGCGCCGACCGACTCAAAACCAGCGAGGTCGGCCGTAGCGGCAGAGGCGACAGAGGGCAGCAGGGGGGAAGGACCACACCCCTCAAAGATGGGGGTGCGAGGGTCACCCCGAGAGGCCCCTACAGCGACAATACTCTTCTCAGCCGCTAGCAGGGACTCCTCAAGGAGGTCGACAGTGAGAGTGGTGGGACAGACAGAGAGAAACTGGTCCCTAACGACACGAAGGGACTCAGGGAGACGGGTGACGAGAAAGTAGAGAGTGATGTACATGGGAGGAGGGTTCGCAGCGCGGAACTCAGCAGAAAGGGCAGCGCGGTAGCGGGTGTCACTAGCACGGAGGTGGGTAACGAGGTCAGCGACAGTGGGAAAGGAAGGGAGGTCAGGGAAGAGAAACGGTAGCATGAGGCGGCCAAGAGTAGCGGAGGAAGGGGAGGAGTAGCGTGCAACTACAGCGTCGTACAAGGCCTGAGCGGTCTTGCACTGACTAAAGTGGGCACGCTCAGAGGAAGGGAGGTGGCGACGCACAGCAAGACGTGCAGCAGCATCGCGGGTCGCCCACTTGGAGCGAACGGCAGAGTCAGCATCAGCAGGTGGGGCAGGGACAGCGCCAGAGACAAAGTCAAAGAGAGAGACCTCATCTATCGCATCACACAGTAAGTACAGCTGCAGGTCTTCAATCCAGACGGCAAAGTCAATGGCCCTCCCCTCAGCGTCAAAAGTAAGAACATTGGGGGTGGCCATGGCAGCAGCTGAAAGTCTCACCGGTCTGGGAGAGTCGGGTAGGTCAGCAGCAGAGGAACACAGCTCAGGAACAGCAGCACGGCTCCTCAGGCGGCTCGGGCGGCTCGGGCGGCTCGGGCGGCTCGGGCGGCTCGGGCGGCTCGGGCGGCTCGGGCGGCTCGGGCGGCTCGGGCGGCTCGGGCGGCTCGCGCGGCTCGGGTGGCGTAGGGGCTCACGGGCGGCGCGGGCTGCTGGGGCTGCTCACGTGCAGCACGGCGGGCTGCAGCAGGGGCCGGGGGGAGGGCTGTAGCGGGGCCGACGGCGGGCTGGAGCGGGGCCGGGGCGGGCTGTAGCTGGGCTGGCGGCGGGCTGTAGCTGGGCCCGGTGGCGGGCTGTAGCGGGGCCGGCGGCGGGCTGTAGCTGGGCCGGCGGCGGGCTGTAGCTGGGCCGGCGGCGGGCTGTAGCGGGGCCGGCGGCGGGCTGTAGCTGGGCCGGCGGCGGGCTGTAGCTGGGCCGGCGGCGGGCTGTAGCTGGGCCGGGGGCGGGCTGTAGCTGGGCCGGCGGCGGGCTGTAGCTGGGCTGGCGGCGGGCTGTAGCAGGGGCCGGTGCGGGCTGTAGCGGGGCCAACGGCGGGCCGTAGTGGGGCCAGTGGCAGGCTGTAGCGGGGCCAGTGGCGGGGTGTAGCGAGGCCAGTGGCGGGCTGTAGCGGGGCCGACAGCAGCTGAAGCGGGGCCGGCGTAGGGCCGTGGCGGGGCCGACGAGGTCTGGGCGGGGCCGACGAGGGGCCGAAGTGGGGCCTAGGCGGGCCGGCGGGGCCTAAGCGGGGCCAACGCGGGGCCGACGGGGTCTAGGCGGGGCCGACGCGGGGCCAAAGCGGGGCCTAAGCGGGGCCGACGGGCCTAAGCGGGGCTACGCGGGGCCGACGTGGGGCCTAAGCGGGGCCGACGGGGGCTACGCGGGGCCGACGAGGGGCCTAGGCGGGGCCGACGAGGGGCCTAAAAGGGGGGGGGGGGGGGCCGACGAGGGGCCTAAGCGGGTGCACGACGGGAAGGGCGACACGGAGGGTCGCTAAAAAAAAATGCGCGCCTCGGGGCGCGCTTCGGTGGGCCCTAGGAACAGGCCCTAAGAAGGGACCTGCTCTGATTCCATGAGAAAGCGTGAACGAGAATGGATGACTATGAAGTGAAGTGAATACAAATAGGAAACCCTAATTGTGTTGTACCCCCTATGGGATACCCCACTATAGCCTACAGAAACAAGTAAGCTATATGTTCTGACAGTACCCACATGTTTCCTAGTCATTCACTCGTTCTTTCACATGGTATAGAGCAGATTCCCTAGTGGGAACGTTTCCTAGGGCCCACCACGAAAATCGATTTTTTTTTTTTCTTGCCCAGAGCGCGCTTCGCCCCTGCCCGAGTCGCGCCCCGTGTGCCTGCCCTCCCGTCGCGTCCCCTGCCTTGAGCGGCCCGTCGCGCCCTATACAGCCCCGTAGTGGCCCCTCTCACGGCCCCTCGCGGCCCCTTTTCGGCCCCTCCGCGGCCCTTCGCGGCCCCTCTCACGGCCCTTCGCGGCCCCTTACGGCCCTTCTCGGCCCCGTCGCCGCCCTTCGCGGCCCCTCGCGGCCCCTTCTCGGCCTTCGTCGCCGCCCTTCGCGGCCCCTCACGGCCCCTTCTCGGCCCCGTCGCCGCCCTTCGCGGCCCCTTCACGGCCCTTCCTGGCCCCTTCGCCGCCCTTAGCGGCCCCTTCTCGGCTCCTCCGCGGCCCTTCATGGCCCTGCCGCCCCGCCGTTGCTGCCCCAGCAGCAGCAGCCGTCGCGCCGTAACAGCCGTCGCCACCACTACCGGGGCCGCCGCCGTCGCCGCTGCCGACAGCAGGAGCCGCTGCCGCCGCTGCTGTGACAACCGCCGCCGCCGCCGTTGCTGCCGACAGCAGCAGCGGCCGCCGCCGACAGCAGCAGCCGCCGCCGCCGCTGCCTGACAGCCGCCGCCACCGCGGCCGGGGCCACAGCCGCCGACGCCGCCGACAGCAAGAGCCGCCGCTGCCGTCCCGGCCCTGCCCTGCAAAGAGGAGCAGCACCCCTCTGCCGCCCTGTCGCGGCCCTGTCCGTGCCGGTGCGCCTCGGCCCTGCCCCACCACTTGCGGAACTCTACCCACCCGCCCTGGTAAGAGCACCGCCGAGCCGCGCCTCTGCTACTGAGCTGCTCCTAGCCTGCTGCTACTACTGCTAGACTGCTGCTACTGCTGTCATGGCTACCCCTAGCGTTCTCACCTTTGATGCTGAGGGTCGGGCTGTCGACTTTGAGGTCTGGGTCGATGATCTGCAGCTTTTCCTGCAGTGCGATAGGAAAGACGGTCTCTCACTGCTCGATCTCACGTTTGGCGCCTCTGCGGCCCCTTCTGCCGATGCTGATAGCACTGTTCGCTCACAGTGGGCCACACGCGATGCTGCTGCCCGTCTTGCTGTGCGTAGTCACTTGCCGACCACTGAGCGCACGCAGTTTAGTCACTATAAGAGTGCTAAGACATTGTACGACGTTGTAGTTGCACGCTACTTTTGACCTGCCACTGCTGCCCTTAGCCGCCTCATGCTGCCGACCCTGTTCCCAGACCTCGCCGCCTTTCCCACAGTCACTGACCTCATAACGCACCTTCGCACTAGTGACACCTGCAACCGCGCTGCACTTCCTGCTGAGTTCTGTGCAAAGAACCCCCCCCCCATGTACATCACCCTCTACTACATAGTCACCCGGCTCCCTGACTCCCTTTGCTCGATCAGCGACCACTTCCTCTCTGTATGCCCCACCACACTCACCGTTGACCTCCTCGAGGAGCGCCTCCTGGCAGCTGAGAAGAGTATAGTTGCTGTAGGAGCCTCTCGTGGTGACCCTCGTTCCCCCGTCTTTGAGGGGTGCTCACCCTCCCCCCTCTTGCCCTCTGTTGCCTCTGCTGCTGCCGTCGACTTCGTTGGCACCGAGTCGGTCGGCGCTGCGTCTGCCCTTAGCGGGAGACGCCGCACCGGCAAGGGCAAGGGGGGCAAGGGCGCTGGAGTAGCTGGCGGGGGCGGTGGAAGTGGCGGTGGAGGCGGCGGAGGGGATGGGGGTGGCGGTGGGAGTGGTGGCGGGGGTGGGGGCTTCGGTGGCGGCAGTGGAGGCGGAGGAGGCGGCGGCGGTGGCGGTGGGAGCGGAGGAGGCGGAGGAGGCGGCGGTGGCGGCGGTGGCGGAGGTGGCGGCGGCGGCGGTGGAGCTGGTCGGGGTGGCTCTGCACAGCGGGGCGGCTTTTGGTGGTGGTCAGCGCCAGCAGCAGCAGCGCACTCGTGAGACCCCGCACCCCCAGCAGCTTCGTGAGTGGTACGGTGCACGTCAGCGGGGTGGGGGTGCTGGTCCCTGTGCCTACGCCTACGTACCGGCGACCGCACTGGTGAGCCGTGCGGTGGCCCGCACACCACCCAGCGCTACTTCGGCCGCCTGTCGGACGCTTGGCGTCTCCAGTTCCCTGACGCCACTAAGATCCCCCGCTGGGGCGAGCTGCTTCGGTCGGGGGTTGCTATCTTTGATCAGGATTATGATGTTATTCTTGCTGCCATGTATGTTGTGTCTACTAGTGATGAGGGTGACTGTTACCTGTGTGTTCCGCCTGACCCGGGCATTGAGGATGCTGCTCTAGGTGCTGCTGAGGCTGCTGCTCTAGGTGCTGGTGCGTCTACTGCCCCAGGTGCTGGTGAGTCTGCTCTCTCAGGCACCACGTCGGCTCAGGCCTTACACACCTTCACCCTTGACTCGGGTGCTTCTCGCTCCTTCTCTCTAGACCGCACCACACTCACGCCGCTTAGTCGGCCAGTTGTGGTCTCCCTGGCGGACCCCTCTGGGGGTCCTGTCCTTGCCCACTTCTCCACTGTTTTACCATGTCTGGCGGCCCCTTCCGGCACCCTGTCAGGTCTTTACCTCCCCTCGTTCTCTACGAACTTGGTGAGTGGTGCTGATCCACAAGATGGGGGGGTTGACCAGTTCACTCCTGCGAGTCAGCGGGTCACCCACTGTACGCCTGCTCGGACGGGCCGACACTTGGCCACGTTTACCCGCCAGCCGGGGTCGAGCCTGCACACGCTGACTACTGAGTCTCCTCAGGTAGCTGCGTCGGGCCGGGTGTTTGCTCAAGCGTCCAGGTCTGGTCCTGAGTCTGCCCCCTGCTCGTGTCGTCTCCTGTCTCACCAGACTCTCCTCTGGCACCACCGCCTTGGCCACCCCTCCCTGCCTCGTCTCCGAGGCATGGCCTCCCGTTACCTTGTCTCTGGTCTTCCCCGGTCCCTCCCTCCCCTCGCTCCGGGGCCTGCCCCTACCTGCGTTCCCTGCGTCGAGGGGCGGCAGTGCGCCGCTCCTCACTCCTCCAAGTTTCCTCCGACAGAGGCTCCGCTGCAGACACTTTACCTGGACTTGTGGGGCCCCGCCCGCGTCCATGGCCAGGGTCACGAGCGTTACTTCCTGTTGGTGGCCAGGGCTAGAGAGTTTCGGCTCGGATTTTCCTGTTCTACGTCTGCACTCTGACAGAGGCGGAGAGTTTTCCTCTGACCTTCTGCGAGCCTTCTGTCGTGCACAGGGCATCCGCCAGATGTTCACGCTTCCAGCCTCTCCACAGCAAAATGGGATTGCTGAGCGTCGCATTGGCATGGTCATGGATGTCCCTCGTACGTCCATGATCCATGCGGCTGCTCCCCATTTTCTGTGGCCGTTCGTGGTTCAGTACGCGGCGCATCAGATCAACCTTCAGCCCTGGGTCTCCTTGCCGGAGACTTCCCCTACTCTGCGGTGGACGGGGAAGGTTGGCGATGCGTCTGCGTTTCGTGTCTGGGGATCTCGGACATTTGTCCGTTACTTGTGTGCGGACAAGTTGTCCCCTCGTGCTATTCCCTTTGTCTTCCTTGGCTTCCCCCCTGACGCGCCTGGTTGGCAGTTTTACCACCCCACCTCGCGCCATGTTCTGTCCTCCCAGGACGTCACGTTTGACGAGTCGGTTCCTTACTACCGTCTCTTCCCCTATCGCACTGCGCCCCTCCCCCCGCCGCCGCTCTTCCTCGCGCCAGGTCCCCCCTCGGTAGACCCCCTTCCCCCTCAGGGTCCTGCCCCCTAAGGTGTGTCCCAGGTATACGCAGTCAAGCCTGTCGAGGTAGCTGTTGACTCTAGTGCTACTAGGGGTGCTGAGCCTGGGGGTGCTGCGTCTGGGGGTGCTGAGCCTGGGGGTGCTGAGTCTGGGGGTGCTGCGTCTAGGGGTGCTGAGCCTAGGGGTGCTGAGACTGGGGGTGCGGAGCCTGAGTGTGCTGGGCCTGTTCGTGTGGAGTCTGGCGGTACTAGGTCTGGAGGTCCTTCGGGTGCTTCGTCCCGGCGGGAGCTACCCTCTCCACAGGAGCTGCGCGAGTGGTTTGCTCGGCGCTGGAGCCGTGCTGCTGGAGCTGGAGGAGCTACTGGAGTTGGAGGTTCTAATGCTGGTGAGGGTACTGGTGCCACGGGTCCCGGAGGTGCTCGTACTGGGGATACTGGAGCTGCTGGGCCTGGGGGTGCTCCTTTTCCTGGAGCTGCTGGCCGGTACTTCTAGAGCAGGTGCTGCTGGAGGTGCTGGAGCTGGGGCTGTTGGGTCTTTCGATGGTCCGGGTGGAGCTGGAGCTGTTGGGGATGTTGGCGCTGGAGGTGCTGCTGGCGTTGGTGCTTCTGCGGGTGCTAGAGTTGGCGGTGGTGCAGCTGGGGGCCCTCCTAGTGCTGGTACTGCCGCTGAGGATGCTGGTGCTGTCCCTGCTGGCTCAGGAGGCGCTGCGTGGCCGCGGCCGTACTTCGTTCCGCTCCTTGAGAAGGTTCTTCGTCTCCCGCCTTCTGCTGGTCCTGCTCCTTCCTTAGAGTGTCCGCCGCCTGTCCAGTCTGAGTCGCAGTTACAGCCTGCATCCCCACTGCCTTCTCCTTCTCCCTACACTGGTCCTACTGGAGGTCTTGCTGAGCGTCGTGATCCTGCGTCTCGTCCTGTGTCGCCTGTTCGTACTGCTCACACTAGTCGTAGTGTTCCACGTCCGCGTCCTCCTGCGGTCCCGAGCACACACCAGATGGCACAGCGTCCTTCCACTACGTGTCCCTTTGCCGTCTCCTCCACAGTCCTCTCTGCCTACTCTTGCTGACCTGGAGTCTGACTCCCTTCGTGCTGCCAGTCCTACTGTCACGCGTCTCCTGGCCACTGTTGTCAATGACCCTTCCTTTGAGTCCACTGCTGCGTCTTCCTTAGTTGCTGAGCTTGTCGACTTTGCAGCTCGCTGTCGTCTAGACTACGCTGCTAGTCTTGTTACTGAGTCAGAGTATGTCTGTCCTCCATCCGTCGGGGGTGAGTGTGCTCTTAGCACAGACGTCCTTGAGGACAGGCAGGAGGAGTTCCAGTGTTTTGCTGCTGCTTTACCTCATCTCGTGTCCATGCTGATTGCCCCTGAGGGAGACCCGGATGCACCAGACATCCCGACTCCACGCTCTTACGTAGAGGCGATAGAGGGTCCCTACTCCTCACAGTGGCAGTCAGCCATGGACGCAGAGATGGCTTCTTGGAAGTCCACAAGCACCTACGTTGACGAGGTTCTCCCACCTGGGGCGAACATCATTAGTGGCATGTGGATTTTCAGGGTAAAGCGGCCGCCGGGTTCCCCGCCTGTCTTCAAGGCGCATTACGTGGCTCGAGGCTTTAATGAGCAGCAGGGAGTTGACTACTTTCAGACCTTCTCTCCCACCCCGAAGATGACCACTCTTCGGGTGCTGCTGCACATAGCCGCTCAGCGCGACTATGAGCTTCACTCTCTTGACTTCAGCAATGCTTTCCTACAGGGCAGCCTGCACGAGGAGATCTGGCTGCGCCGCCCACCTGGCTTCACTGGGTCGTTTCCCCTTGGTACCCAGTGGAGCCTCCGGCGGCCAGTCTACGGTCTCCGCCAGGCGCCCCGTTAGTGGCACGACACACTGAGGACTACACTTGCGGCTCTTGGGTTTGCTCCTTCTACTGCCGACCCGTCGCTGTTTCTGCGCACCGACACCTCTTTGCCGATGTTCTACATCCTCGTTTACGTCGACGACTTGGTCTTTGCTACTGCTGACACTGGAGGACTCGCCCACGTGAAGTCGGAGCTGCAAAAGAGACACACGTGCACAGACCTGGGTGAACTGAGCAGCTACCTTGGCTTGCAGATCACCTGGGATAGAGCACAGCGCACCATTACCCTTACTCAGTCATGGTGCAGCAGGTCCTTCAACGCTTCGACTTCACGTACTCCTCGCCTTAGGCCACTCCTCTGTCTACTCGCCACTCGCTCTCAGCTCTGCCTTCGGATGAGTCCGTAGAGCCGAGTGGCTCGTACCCAGAGCTTGTTGGCTGCCTCATGTACCTGATGACCAGCACTCGACCTGACCTTGCATACCCTCTTAGCATCTTGGCACGCTTTGTTCCTCCTGGGAGAAACCAACCAGAGCACATGGCTGCAGCGAAGAGCGTGTTGCGCTCCTTGTGCAGTACGTCAGGCATGGGGCTCGTGCTTGGAGGGCGGCGTTCAGTGGTCCTCACTGGTCACAAAGATGCTTCTTGGGTTCACGACCAGGCTACGCAGCGGTCGTCACAGGGTTACACCTTCAGCCTTGGTTCCGGCTCTGTTTCGTGGCGGTCTACCCGCTCGTCTTCTGTTCTCGGCTCCAGCTGTGAGGCTGAGATCTACGCAGGGGCCATGGCTGCACAGGAGCTACGCTGGCTCACCTACCTGCTGATTGACCTAGGAGAGTCGCCTCGTTCTCCTCCAGTTCTGTACATAGACAACAAGGCCATGCTGGCCTTGTGTCGGGAGCACAGACTGGAGCACAGAACGAAGCACATTGCTCTTCGCTACTTCCTTGCTCGTGAGTTACAGCAGCGTGGTCAGCTGCGCCTTGCTTACGTGGCCTCTAGGGCCAACACTGCTGATATCTTTAACAAGGCACTTTAGCCTTGTGATCATCAGCGCTTTTGTACGATGCTAGGTCTTGTGCCTACTTGGCCTTTCTTGCTCACTTCTTGACCTTGCTTGTACTGTGATCTATCTATACCTGCCCTTGCTTGTTTACCTTTATACATAATCTTGCATGTGAATTGGCCTTGTGGCCTTGAACTTGTGCTCAAAATGTGTGGTGACGTTGTGATCCACCCTGAGCTTGCTGTGTTTTGCTTGACTGGTCTTGTGACCTCTTGTTCTCCCCCACTTTGCCTATGGGGGTGTGTCAAACATATATGCTATAGTCTATCTAGGCTGTAGTGGGGTAGATACTATAGGGTACAACAC